CCAGGGTCATACAGCTAGTAAGTATCTGAGGCCATATTTGAACTCAGGTCTTCCTGATTCCAGGCCCAGCATTCTACCTAGTGTGCCACCTAGCTGCTTTGTTTAGTAGTACCAGGAACTGTGCTAAGGGCTAGGAATACAAATACAAAAAAAGAAAGATTGTCCCTGGCCTCAAAGACCTTATGTTCTAATGAGGGGTGTGTGAAGACAATACACAAAAGAAGGCTGAGAAACAGAGGCAAGGGGTTGGGGGTGGGGAATCCCACTTCCTCATGAGTCAGCCCACTCCACTTTGGATGGTTCTAACTGTAAGAATTTGTTTTCTTAAAATCATGCTGAGCTTTTCCTCTTTGCATCTTCTACCTATTGCTTCTGATTCTGCCCTTTCCATGTAACACTCTTTAAAACAGTGGTGTCAAACTGAAACGTTTCCATTGCGGGTGTATATTGACTTAGAAAACACAAATTAACACTATCCATTATATTTTGCATTATATTTTTATTTAATTTGTTAAACATTTCCCAAATTACATTTTAATTTGTTTCCAGTAGCACTCAGGAGTTGTATCCTGGAGGTTGAACATTTGACACCTTTGCTTTAAGATATTTGAAGACAATTAGTGTTTCCCCAATAAGTCTTCTCAGTCAATGTGTTTATTAAGCACTTGTTATGTGCCAGGCATTGCACTGTAGATGAAATAATCCCTGCTCACAAGAGGCTTACAGTCTAACTCTCTAGGCTAAACATCTACAGTTATATTCATCAGTCATCAGATGGCATGGACTTGAGATCTATCACCATTCTGGTCACTGTCATTGGGATGCTATCCAGCTTATCAATGCTTTTCTGAAACTGTCATGCCCATCACTGAACTCAGCACCCCAGATATGGTCTAATCAGAGCAGAGGGGAGGAGGACTATCACTGCCTCACAAAGGTAAGAAGTGACAGAGCTGTAGCAGCAAGGTGGTGCAGTGGATAGAACACCTACACTGGAGTCAGGAGGACCTGAGTTCAAATCTGAACTCAAGCACTTAACATTTACTAGCTGTGTGACCCTGGGCTTAGCCAAAAAAAAAAGTGACAAAGCTTATACTCAAGCCTAGTTTGTCTGACTTCAGGTTTAGCATACTGCACTATACCATGGTGTCTAAGCAAGCTGGAATCCTCTAATTTTGCTCATTCTTTATTTCTACTAAAGATACTCTCCAGTCAATTCTTCCCCAAACCAGTGAATAGTCTTCTTTGGGTATATTTTGACCAAAAGTCTTCAGCAAGATATAGTGGATAGTAAGGAAGACATATTTGAACCCTGCCTTAGTCACTGTGTGATCTTGGGCAAGTCACACCCTCACTGGGCTTCTGCTGCCTCGTCTTTCAAAGGATGGAGTTCGACTTAATGGTGAATAAGGTTCCTTCCAACTCAATTTTTATGATCCTACGATCCTACATTCTGTACTTCGAATAAATACTTTTCTGTTGATCATTCAAAAATTTTTTTTCACCTAGGATTATTCCAGGAAACAGTTGCATGTAATTTTTCTTAATTGATTTTCTATTCTCCTGGGCCCTGAGCTTATGATAGATGCCTTGGCAATATTTATTATAATAAGAGTGACACAAAGTGGAGCTATATATACGTCATATTGGCAGTTTTAGCTTTGGATGAGTAATGGTTTGTTTCCATTTGAACTCCGAGCTTCTAACATTTCAGCAGGGATCTGAGTCACAGCAAGTGAGAAATGTCAATATAGCTTCTCTCCAGTTTTACATTTATTCTCCAAAATTAGAAGGGGGCAGCAGGCATAATTTGGGAATATTCTATGATATCCTCAATCAATCCACAAATACAGAGTGCCCCCAAAGTCTTAGTGTAACTAATACTTACAATTGCAGTAAGTGGTATACTAGATGGAGCATTGGGCTTGGGATCTGGAAGACTCATCTTCCTGAGTTCAAATCTGGCCTCAGACACTTACTGGTTGACCTTGGGCAAGTCACTTAACTGTGTTTGCCTCAGTTTCCTCATCTGACTAGAGAAGGAAATGGCAAACCATTCCAGTACCTTTGCCAAGAGAACCCCAAATGGGTTCATGAAGAGTTGGATACAACTGTAATGACATAACAGCAATAACAACACACACACACACACACACACACACACACACACATATGCATATATGAGTTACAAAGGGAAAAAAACATACCCTGTCTTTAAGGAACTTTCATTTTATCAAGAGAGATCACATGTATCTATGTAAATATATACAGAATAAATCCATAAATGTAAGGTAATTTTTTTGGGTGGAGTGGAGCTACTAGCAGCTAGGGAATCAGAAAAGGCAACAGTTAGATAGCACAGTGTCTGAAATGCTGGACCTAGAACCAGGAAGACCTGAATTCTAATCCTACCTTAGACACTAGCTGTGTGATGATGGGTAAAGTAGTTAACCTCTGTTTACCTCAGTTTTCTCATCTGTAAAATAGAGATAATCATGCATCTACCTCCCAGGGTTGGATAATAAACAGAGATAATATTTGCAAAGCATTTTGCAAACCTTGTAGTACTGTATAAATGCAAGTTATTATTAGCAACTGAGCTAAGCTTTGAAGTAAACTTGGGATTTTATATTTAGGAGGCAGAGGGGAAGAAACAGTATATTCTAAGCATAGGGGACCTTGTATATGAAGGCATATAGATGGTATATGAGTGTCATTTGTGAGGAACAGCAAATTTAGCTCATTTTAAGGCAATATTTATTATTTATGAATTAATATTTGGGGAGGTCCCATTGTATTGCATGGTTTTATATTGCACCTTTTGAAAGACTTTGTTTGCCATGTTTGTCCAGATAACCTTAGTAAATACAACCACACTGAATGATATGAATCCAAAGCTTACCACATAGGTTCTTTCTATAAGAGAATGCTTCACCCTTCTTATCTGATATTTTGCTAGCTTTGTCTTCTGTGAATGCTACTGTTGATTCTTATTTCAAGTGATGTGATTAAAAATTTTTTTCAATGAACAAAAAGTGATTTTCTTTTTCTCCCACTTCCCCCACTTAAAAAAACCAGACCCTTATAACAAATTCTTATAGTCAAATGAAACTAATTTCTGCATGGTCCATGTCCAAAACATATTTCTTAATCTGTACCTTGAACCATCACCCTCTGTCAAGAGGTAGACAGTTTAGAGCAGGGGTGGAGAACCTGTGGCCTTGAGGCCACATGCGGCTCTCTAAATCCTCAAGTGTGGCCCTTTATCTGAATCCAAACCAAAGGGCTGCCGTTGAGCACCTAGAGGGCCACATGTGGCCTCGAAGCCACGGGTTGCCCACCCCTGATTTAGATCATCAACCATTCTCTGGAATCGTGATTGGTCACTGCATTGATCAGATCTGAATCTTTCAAAGTTGTTTATCTTCGCAGTTTTGTTTTTACTGTATAATGAATTCTTCTGGCTTATCTCATCTCACTCTGCATTAGTTCATCCAAGTCTTTCCAGTGTTTTCTGAAACCACCCCTTGATCGCTTCTTACGAAGCAATAGTATTCCATTATTCTATGATTTGTTCAGCCATTTCCCAATTTATGGGCAACCTGAAAAAGGGTGGTGTGATCTTCTACAATTGAGTTCTTTTAGAAAATGATACCAGATCTTCCCTTCCACCCCAAAATCAGTAAGAAATTCCTCAAATTATTTATAATTCAAATTCAAATACACTGTCTGTAATTCAATGTTGCTATCGCAAGACTATTCATCCACGACTATTAGGTTCCCTTGGTGGCTGTAAGATTTCCCTTCCCTCCTGAGGTTTCCACATTATTTTCTTTTGTTTCATAGCATTTACTTATTGAATTGAAGCCCCTTCTTTGGTTAGTTGTTAATTTTTTTTAAGTCTCCTTTCCAGTTTTTCTCTGATGTTTTCCTTGTGATGAGTTATTTTTTCTCTTCTTCCTTTTCGTGTTTGTTGCTGTTTTTTTTTTTCTTTCCTCTCAGCCTGCATTTCTTGCTTGCAGTGCTTGGACATGGTCCCTTACTCAGTTCCCCTGCTGGAATCCCTTTGAATTCAGTGGAGGAAACACTGATTAAACACCAGCTTTGAGTACTAGGTAGGGTGCTAGGTGTTGGACGCTGTGGTGAGTCAACCCTGACAGCTAATGAAAACAATGAAGAAATTAGAGCAACAGCACTGCTGTTAGGAGGTAGGTAATCCTGAAATTCACTAGGGAGCAGTGTTGGCACACAGAACACATTTTCCTTCCCACACGATGTGTTTTGCAAGCATTCTGTAATACCTGTCAGATGTGCCATTTGCTACCTGTGTGACCTTGGGCAAATCAGTTGATCATAGGTGAGAGATTTAGAGCTAGAAAGGACCTTAGAGACCTTTCGGACCAACCCTCTTCCCCACCCTCACCCCATACTTTTACGGAGGCACAGGGAGTTTAAATGACTTGCCCGGGGTCAGATAGCTAGTAAGTGTCTGAGGCTGGATCTGAACTCAGGTCTTCCTGATTCCAGGCCCAGTGCCCTATCCACTGTGCCATCTAGCTGCCCTATGTATGTATGACTCCTGAGCCACCTAGCTGCCATCTAATGACCCCCTTTTCTATTTGAGTTTGACAGCACTGGCCTAGAGCACCGAGAGATTAAGAGATTTCCCCAGAGGCCTGCAGTCAGAATGCGTCAGAGATGGGACTTGAACCTAGGTCTTCCTGGATGCAAAGACATGTCTCTCTACTACCTCATGCTGCATGTATTATAATGAATTTTAGAGATAAGATGACAAAAGGCACCAAAGATAACTTGCAAGCGGGAGAAAGTTTATTGAGTACTAAGAAATCTCAACAGATGAGGTCAAGTTGAGTAGTCATCATCATCCTTGGCCTATGCTGATGACACAGCTGTAGGTGATGCTTCTTCAAATGATGTTATTCCAGATGATGCTATCTTACATGAATATGTGTGTGTGTGTGTGTGTGTGTGTGTGTGTGTGTGTGTGTGCATATGGCTAAACAAACTGGGCCACACCTACTGCACAGAAAGAAGCTACATTTCAGGACCTAAAAGGAAAAGCTACATTTTTTTCTCTGCTTAGAGCTGCTTATATATCCAGATGGTTTCTCAATTCCTCTTCTCTAAAGGATTGAGCATGAGACCCTCTGCTCTGCTCATCACTGGTTAATTGCCTGGGGCCTTCTCTTCCAGAGATTGGAGCCTGGTAGTGAGGCCTTTGCTTCGTTGGTCAATTTCCTCAAGCACCTTTTTCACCACAATGGCTTTACCCAACTCTGGAGAGGAAATGGAAAAGAAATCTTTAGAAGTTTGGAAGTGCCAGAAAGATCCCATGACCCAGCAACCCCAGTACTAGGTATGTGCTCCAAGAAGAGCAATGTGAGAAAGAGAGGCTCCATATATATTAGCAGATATCTGTAGCAGCACTCTTTGTGGAAACAAAATGGGTGCCCATAGATTGAGGAATGGCTGAACAAAGTCTGGTCTGGGGATGGGATGAAATGTCATTTTTCTGTGAGAAAGGAAGATGAGGAATTCAGAAAATCATGGGAAGACTGCTAAGAAGTGATACAGAATGAGGCAGGTTAAAGCAAGGGAATAATGTGTGGAAGATCTTCAGTAATGGAAATTAGAGATATCAAACACCCAGCCTACAGGCCCCATTTGGCTGACAACACTGTCCAAGTGCCCCAACCAGATTAGAATATAACTGGGAATTATTGAACAAAATAAATGAAAATATAATAAAGCATAGATAATATTTGATTTTAAAACTGAGTCAACACGTGGCCTTCAAAAATCCTTATGTACCAATTAGTAACCCATTTCTTAGAGAGGTACTTGGACCACTAAGAGAATAATTAATTTGCTTAGGATCAGTGTGTATTGGAGGGAGATTGGAACCCAGGCCTTCTATGTGGTGCAGAGGCAGTGGAGAGAGCACTGGGGCTGAAGTCAGGGAGACCTGAGTTTAAACATGGCCTCGGATACATACTAGCTGTGTGACCCTGCACAAGTCACTTAACTTCTGCTTGCCTCAGTTTCCTCATTTGTAAAATGGGGTTAATAAGAGCACCTACCTCACGGAGTTGTGAGAATCAAATGAGATCATATTTATAAAGCTTTTAGCATAGTGCCTGGCACATCATTGTTGTTCAGTTGTTTTTCAATCATGTCTGACTCTTCATAACCCCTATTGGGGTTTTCTTGGCAAAGACACTGGAGTGGTTTGCCCTTTCCTCCTCCAGCTCATTTTACAGGTGAGGAAACTAAGACAAACAGGGTTAAGGGGCTTGCCCAGGGTCACACAGCTACTAAGTGTCTGAGGCTGGTTTTAACTCATGAAGGTGAGTCTTTTTTACTCCAGGCCCAGCACTCTATCCACTAGGCCACCTAGCTGCCCCACCTGAAAAATAGGAGGTGTTTAATAAATCCTTTTCTTCTTCTTTCCATCTTCCTTTTTTGTCCCTGAGAGCAGCTCTCGATCCACTAATGCCACTTTGTCTTTAACAACAGTAAGAGACGGTGGAACTCTGACGTGTTGTTATGAACATTCTTCATCTTGGAGAACTGTTAATGAAATGTACCTTTCTCCTCTCAGCAGAGAGGTGGTGGACTATGGGTGAGGAATGTGGTATATGCTTTCAGACATGGTTGTTGCATTGGTTGGCTTTTTTTCCTTTGTTAGAAGGAAGGATGCAATGGTGGTGGTTGAGGAGGTATGAGGGAGTAATGAGCATATTAAGGGGAAATAATTACATTGTAAAATCAAAAGACAATGATAAAACTTTAAAAATAAGAAGAAACAGAATAAATATGAGTGATGAAATATATCAGCTAACTGGATTCCATATCATACAAATCCAAGCTGTTATATAGGAGACACTGATACTTCTGGTCATGTCTTTGTGTTTCCATTAGGGACATCTCATACCCATTGTGATATAATAGAAAGAACACTGGTCTGGGAACCGGAATGAATGAATGAATGAATGAATGAATGAATGAATGAAAAATGTGCAAAATGTATAAAAAACTAATGAACACATGTGCAAAGCACCATGCTGATACCAGAAGGCCGACTTTGACATTTTAACTTAGCCTGCCTGAGCTTCAGTTTCTCCATCTATAAAATGGGGATTATAAAATGTATACTACCTGTCTTATAGGGTCACTGGGTAAAAGTACATTGCAAACCTTAAAACATTAGAGAGACATAATTTTTGTTAATATTTGGCCAATTAAAAAGATGGATAAATGTTACTTTGGGGGGCATATTATTTATCATAAATATCTAAAGACATATTTCCTTAGTATTTGTTATAACATGTTCATTATTTAATAATGTATTTATTATTAAATTAATATATTTATCATAATAGTTTGTTTTATTTTAGTTAATATAATATTTTATTTCTATATTCTATATTACATATATGATATTTCAGTCAAATTATTACAATGTAAACATTTTTATTTTAAGTCCAATTAAACATGCATTTAACCTCTCCTGTGGGCCAGGCACTGGGTTAGGCTCTAGAGAAACTGTGATGAAACGAAGTACAGTCCCTGCCCTCAGGGAGCTTAGAATCTGGGAAGATCTGGTCTCAGGGGTGTGATTTGGAAGGCAGAATATAATTCAATTAATGTAGCTTAGAAACAGAATTTCATTCCAGTTACCTTTAGTTGGACTTCCCAGATTTCCAGATCCATGATCTTTAGACTTGGAACCTGTAGACTTGCAAGCTCTGTGGGAGGATAGAGAGTGGATGAGCACATCATAAAGGAGAGGGGCTCAGTGACAAAATCTCAGACTCGGAAGGGACTTCAGGGAGCATTTCTGAAAAAGATTCCCTCTTCAGCTCACTGGAGTAGCAGGCATCCAGCCTTGGTTTGAAGACTTTTAAAGAGAGGACCTCACCCCTCGCAGGGCAGCTTATTCCACTTCGGGAAGGCTCTAAGCGTTAAGAAGTTTTTCTTGACATTGAGTTTAAATTTGTTTTGTTGTAACCTGAGCTCAGCATCCCTTCTTTATCTTCTGGAGTCAAGCAAAATAAACGAGTCCATCTTCAACACAATAACCCTTCAGATGTTTGGACAGCTATCATTTTCCCCTTAGGTCTTCTCTTCTATCATCCCCAGTTTTTTCAACCATTCCTTAGAAGGCCTGAACTTGAGACCCTTCCCTATGCTGGTGAAGACAAAATCTCCTGGCTTCTATTGACTAGTGGATCCTTGATTCATTCTCATTCTCATTCTCTCGGTCTGTCTGTCTCTCTCTCTCTCTGCCTCTCTCTCTCTCTCTCTCTCTCTCTCTCTCTCTCTCTCTCTCTCTCTCTGTTTTTGTCTCTGTCTCTGTGTCATTTCTTTGTCTTAGGAAGCTTTAAGTATGGAAATTCAACTCTCTCCACTTATGAAGGTAGTATGGTGTAGTATGAAGGTCCTGGGCCTGGAGTTAGGATGACCAGGGTTCAACACCCACTATAGACACACATTAACTGGAGCCTCACTCCCCCTCCCCCAGCTCCATGGGAAACCCTTCTGAGGCTCTATCTTCAGGCACCTAAATGGCTCCAGCTGAGGCCCCACTCTCCTAAGAACCCACCCTCAACTTTCTGCCAACACCTCCTTTTCCTCTCTTGACTGACTCCTCCCTCTCTGTGTTGGCTCTTAGATCCACTCTTGCCTTCCCAATGGTAGTAGGCTGCTTCTGAGGGGCAGATGCCCCTATGGTTCCCAAGCCTTGCCATCTGCCTTAAAACTGACACTTAAGGCTCCTGGCCCTCTCCTTCCTCCCTACAGTTCAACTCTCCTACATGCTGTCTTCCCTGACGAGGATTTGAGCTCCTTGAAAGCAGGGGCTGTCTCCTTTTTCTCATACTATCCCCATGCGCACCACCATGCTTGGGTCATAGTAAATATTTTTTTCATTCATTTATTATAGCTGTGTGAACCTGGGCAAATCATAACCTGTGAACCTCAGTTTCCTCATTTATAAAATGAGGGGGTTGGATTCATTTCCTCTAGTGTCCCTTCTAGCTCTAAAGCTAGGATAAGATTATAAGTAATGTCATTTTTGAGAGTGTCTTGATGAAGGTGGAGGGGAGGGCCTGAGAAGTTGAGTGCCTCATCCATGGTCTAACAGATACTTATAAATCAGAGATGGGACCTGAACTCAGGACTTCCTGCCTCTTACTATTAGATTTTCTTCATAACTTTGGTGAGAATCCATCCAGTATATTAAACTACTGGAAAAAAACTCAGCCACTGAATGAACTTACAGCATTTTTTGCTTTTCTGCTATGAAAAGTGATCTGTTCTATTAAATGTCTGTCTTTTTAAACATCACATTTTTTGGGGGGGGGCAATTAGGGTTAGGTGACTTGGCCAGGGTCACACATCTAGTAAGTATCTGAGGTGATATTTTAACTCAAGACCTCTTGACTCCAGGGCCTCTATCCACTGCACCACCTAGCTAACTTTAGCATCACATTTCATATTTTTCTCTGGATGCTTTATGGTTGAGCTAATCCTCATTCATTTTCTAAGTATCCAGGTTCATACCAACTTCAAAGTATTTTGTCTAAATGTAGAGTTTGATTTACCTAGGAAGGGAGGAAACAAACATTTATTAAGCACTTACTATATGCCAGGCACTCTGCTAAGTGCCATGCAAATACAATTTCATTTGATCCTCATAACAACCCTGGGAGGTGGATGTTATTATTATTTCCATTTTACAGATGAGTAAATTGAGTCAGATAGAAGTTTAGTGAAATGCCCAGGGTTGCACAGCTTTTAAGTGTCTGAGGCCAGATTCAAACTCAGATCTTCCTGACTCAAGGCCCAGCACTCCATCCACTGTTCCACCTTGCTACATACCCTTCATCTCCATCGATCAGGAGGCAGTAAGTTTCGATCTCCTTCTCCAGATAGACCTTGATATGCAGGAGCTGCTCGTACTCTAGCTTCTGGCCCTCGGTCTCGGTCCTGACCTGCTGCAGTTGCTCCTCCAGGGCCCCGATCTGGGCCTGGATTTGTGAGAGCTGCACACAGTAGTTCCCTTCTGTCTCAGTCAGTGAGCATTCCAGCGAGTGTTTCTGTTATGGGCAAACATAAGGATGCATAGAAATTTACTCAGATCCATAGAGTTGTGGCATTCTTCCACTGAGAACTTTGGGTAAGTCTTTGGGATTTCTCATGCATATGCATGCAAGTCAAGTATTGGGATCATGAAATTGTAGGAGCATGGCTGTAGATAGAGCAGAAAGGACCTGAGGAAACCAAGGCTGAGAGGAGTAAAATGTCTTACCTAAAGTCACAGAGATAGTAAATAGCAGAGCCAAAGATCTGAATCCAGGTCTAAATTCAGGATCTCAGCACTGCCTTGTAGGGATTTTTATGAGATGTAAAATCCTTCATTTTGAGGTCAGTGTTTCAAATTAGGATTGTTGTGATTGTCAAATCCCAAATATTTTATGATGTTTCAATAACTCATGAGAAAAAAAACCCACTGGTTTCTCAGTTGCCAAGAACCTCTGACAATAGAAGATGGTCCCAGCAGGGACTGGTGGTGATCAGGACTCCTGTGGGGCAGATGCCCTCGTGTATGCCAAGCACTCCTGGGCTTTGCCTTCGCTCTGTATCTGAACTCTAAGGTCTCCTCGGCTTGCCATCATTTATATACATTCTAGGGAACAAAGGCACCACCACCAGCACTACCACCACCACCACCACCAATAACAACATCCTAGGGATCAAAGCAGCATAGGTTTAGAGCTGAAGGGGAACTCATAGGTCATCTAATCCAGACACCTTATTTTACAGATGAGAAAACTGAGTCCCTGAGATGCTAGATGATTTTTCCATGATTGCAGATAGTTAGTAGCAGGGCTGAGATTTGAACTTAGGTCCTCTCACTACAAATTTAACATTTTTACTATTGTTCTGTATTAGAATGGGCTTATTTAGATCTGTTACAGGGCAGCTAGGTGGCACAGGGGATAGAGCACTGGCCTGGAGTCAGAAGAACCTGAGTTCAAACTTGAGCTCAGATACTAGCTGTGTGGCTTTGGGCAAGTCACTTAACTTTTTTGCCTCAGTTTCCTCAACTGTAAAATGAGCTGGAGAAGGAAATGGCAAACCACTCCAATATCTTTGCCAAGAAAACCTCAGCTGAGGTTGCAAAGAGTAGGACAAAATTGAACAAGATCAAGAAAACTTCATTAAGCATGAGATACAACACCTTCCTTCCTTCCTTCCTTCCTTCCTTCCTTCCTTCCTTCCTTCCTTCCTTCCTTCCTTCCTTCCTTCCTTCCTTCCTTCTTTCTTCCTTTTTCTTTTTTCTTTCTTCTTCTTTCTTTTTCTTTCTTTCTTTTCTTTCTTTCTTTCTTTCTTTCTTTCTTTCTTTCTTTCTTTCTTTCTTTCTTTCTTTCTTTCTTTCTTTCTTTCTTTCTTTCTTCCTTCCTCTCCATTGAAAAAAATATAGCTTACTGCATACTATTAAGTCTAGGGCTATTGATTGCTTCATTTCATTTTATTCTGTTGGTAAATTGCATGATATCTACATGCCTCAGGCAACTTCCAATGATTGGTCTGTCAAGTTACAGATGATTGTGATATGCTTTGGTGCACAGAGTTCCCACCCTATGCTGAGGAAATCATAGATCCTTCCTCTATCACTGTATACAGATAGTGAGGAACTATCCTTTTCAATTTGATTTTTAAAAGTATGATTTTGTGCTGAGCTATGCTACGCTCTGGGGGAATGCAAAAAAGTCAGTGGTCAGGGTCACTGCCTTTATGGAATTGCCAATCAAAAGCCTATACTATAGTCAGAAGTGTGGGGAGGGAGGGTATCAAACAGATGAAAAACCGTAATATGAAACAACCAGTTAATTACATAGGAAAGCTGCAAGAAAATTGCTAATGCAAGGTATATTTTCTAACTTGGAACACACGTAAAAGAGGAAAAATTCAAAGAAGGCTTCTCAGAGTGGGGCAATTGAGACTTAAGAAGTAGTGTAGGTAGGAAATTATGCAACTTGATCAGCACATGGAAAATACTTAATTAGGGCACATTGTGGGGAGTAAATATAAGCGAGAACTGCAAAGCAAGGTGGCATCAGGTAGTTTAGGGTCTTAAAGAGTCTTTATTTATTAGTAGGCAACCAGAAGGATTTTGAGCATAGTTAATATGTGTGCCAAAGTAGATTGGAGTGGGGAGAGAAGGAAGACAGAAAGTCCATTTTTTTTAGCTGATTTTTAAGTGATAAAAAAATGATGGCAGCCATACGTAGGGAGGGATGAGCAGAGCTTTATACCACTTTGCATACTTTAGAGGGTAAGACAGTAACTCTGGGGATGCTTACTCTTCTGTCTGCCCTATTCACAAGGTGGCAGCAGCAATCATCTCCTCTCAGGCGTGCTTCCCATTCTTGGGTAGCAGCATTAGATGAGCCTACCCAGCCCACCCCTCACTGCTGCTGCTGCTGCTTGCCCAGCTAATTAGAACTCTGAAAATGACCACCGAGACCACTGAAAAGTCATCCATGTCCTACCGTGGCTAAGAGGGACTGAAGCTCAATTTCTAAGGTTTGAAGGGTGCGTTTCATTTCGGTCAGTTCACTCCGCGCTGATGTCGTGGCGCCAACATCATCCGAGATCTGCTGCTGCAGAGATGCACTCTGAAACACCACGGAAAAGACAGTCAAGTCTTAGTGCTGTGGCTATTACTGGAGCGCTAAAAAACCCCAACCCTAAATAGGTTAACCTTTTCATTGAACCAGGCTTCAGCGTCCCTGCGGTTCTGCTCAGCCAGGTCCTCGTACTCAGCCCTCATATTGTTCAGCAGAAGGGTCAGATCCACCCCTGGGGCAGCGTTCATCTCCACATTCACGTTTCCTCCAGCAGCGCACTGGAGAGCTTGCATCTCCTAGAAACAGAAAGGCATTTCTTTCAGATATGAAGACAACGTGAAGCACTTGGGTGATATGAAGGGACAGCTAGGTGGCACAGTGCTGGGCTTGGAGTCAGGAAGACCTGAGTTCAAATTCTGTCTCAGACACTAGCTGTGTGACCCTGGACAAGTCACTTAATCCTGTCTGCCTCAGTTTCCTCATCTGTAAAATAAACTAGAGAAGGAAGTGAAAAACCACTCTAGTATAACTTTGCCAAGAAAACCCCAAATGGACTCATGAAGGGTCTGACATGATTGAAACAACTGAAAAGGTGGTGTATATATCTATATTTATATCTATATGGCATGCTGGCCTTGGAGTGAAGAAGATCTGGGTTCAAATCCTGCCTCAGACACTTTATGTGTGACCCTGAGAAAATTACTTAAACTTTCTGTACCTCAGTTTCCCCGTCTGTAAAATTGGCATACTGATAGCACTTATCTCCTCAGATTGTCATGGAGATCAAATAAAATAATATATACAAAACACTTTGCATAACTTAAAGTACTATATACATATTTATCATCATCATTATTGTTATTACTTGATTGAAGTCACACTGCTCAATAGAATGAGAGCCAGAACTAGAACCCAAATCTCCCGACTCCCAACTTCCCTGCTCTTCTCTGGATGTTGTAGTTATTCTCCATAGCTCCACTATACATGTTCTGTGTAGAGTTGTATCCTTCAGAGTACTTTGTCATTAAAAAACCCATTATGGTATTCCAAGGCCATTATAAGGCCTTCCCTTTATTTCCTTGGGTCCAGGTTAAATATGCCTCATTCCTTCAACCATACTTTAGACCTTATTCAGTAACTGGTGCTGATGTAAATGAGATAATATTTGTGAAGCACTTTGAAAATCTTAAAACACTATATAAATACTAGCTATTATTATGATGTATTTTTTAACTCTGCTAAACCACAAATTTAAGAAATCTCTGTGTTGTTGGGGTTTGGAATATGAATAGCTCTGAAATGAATTGGTCAGAGATTATTATATATTATTACTATTAAAATAATTTTTTTCCCACAGTATAACTTCTTGAAGAAGTCATCAATTAGATTTCCTTGCAAAAAGAGACTGAAATCTATTCCCCAGCTAAAACCTAAATTCATTTTAAGCTATTCACCATTTGTATGCAATTGGGTCACACTAATTAGGATGAAGGATGTGGGATTTGCAGAACAGATGGGGAAGACATCATTATGAAAAGAAATTAACGGTAACTGAAGGTGTGAGAAATAACACCAGTAATAGTATTATCTTCAACTAGACCTAGATCATGACTGAAAATGAGACTGATTCATTAATTGGCATGAAGGCTATTTCAAAAGGAGCTTCCAAAATGTTTGGAGTAATGGTGACATTATTGGAATAAATGTAAAGTATCTCAGGGTCCCCATATGGGCCACAGGTGGCACAGTAGATAGAATGCTGGGCCTGGTGTCAGGAGCACCTAAGTTCAAATCCAGCTGCAGACACATATTAGCTATGTGACCCTGGACAAGTTACTTAACCTTGTTTGTTTCCTCATCTATAAAAATGAATTGGAGAAGGAAATGGCAAACCATTCCAGTAATCTTTGCCAAGAAAACCCCAAATGGGGTCACAGAGTCGAACACTACTGAAATGACTGCAAAACAACAATCTCAGAGGGGCTGTTTGGAATAACATCATACCTTTGAATTGAAAGCAATATCACATTTATTTTAATTTCCCAAAGCTCCCAATGTGATCCAGTAATTCATGTTGAATATTTTGGTAAGTTTCCATGACTGCTTGTTTGGTGGATAAGAACATAGTGCTGATAAGACCAAGATTAAAGGTCTAACTCACATGTAGGTTATTCATTTTTGCTCTCTCGATTTGCAAGTTAGAACCATCGCTCTCCTTTTAGTAAATAGGAACCCTTGGTTGCATGAGGGACTAGGTGAAAAAAACATTGACCTATTCCCTGAGTAGGATCAAAGTATCTTAGATTTAGAGCTAGAACAGATCCTGCCCTCTTTTTTTTTTTTTTTTTTTTTTTTTTACAGATGAAGAAACCAAAAGCCTAGAGAGGGGAAGTTAATTGGCCAAGTCCACACAAATGGTAAGTGGTAGTGAGAGAAAAGGGACCTGGAACAGAGGGAATCTGAAGGCAGGTCTTCTCAATTTTAAATCCAGTGCTCTTTCCCTGTATTCTAATGTTTCCCCAAACCATTACCAGTTTGTGCCCTAAGGACAATGGGTCAGTAGCATTGCCATAATATCAGAAAGCTACTTCACCCTATATTTCACTATGAGTAGCCCGTCTTTTTAAAGGGAGAGGGTAGTTAGGAGTGTGAATTCCTACCTCTTTATGGTTTTTTTTGAGGTAAGTCAGCTCCTCATTCAGAGTTTCATACTGAATCTCCAGGTCTGTTCGGCATAGGGTCAGCTCATCCAGGACTCTTCGCAGTCCATTAACATCAGCTTCGACATTTTGATGAAAAGCCAGCTCACTTTCAAACCTTAATAAATATCAAATAATTTGTGTTACATTGGGATGGATTGGGGAAGCCCTTAACCACAAAAGAAAGGGGATCCCTTGCTGGCATCCTGTACCTTCAGTAGCCTCATCCTGAGTTTCCAGCTATAGCAGCTTTCATAAAGGTGACTGTACTGCATTGGGGTTTTGAGTTGTCTCTTTTCCCCAAAGCCAATCAACATGATTGGCTGTTTACCAGATTGCACTTCCAAGACAATGCCTGACACACATTCCCTCCTCACCTTTGCTTCTTACAGGATCATAAATTTTGAGCTGGTGAGTACCTTAGAGAGCACCGAGTCCAACCCCTTTATTTTTACAGATGAAGAAACTGAGGTTGAAACAGGTTAAGTGGCTCTCCTTTAGATTATGATCTCCTTGAGGGCTGGGACTGTCTTTTGCCTCTTTTTGTATCCCCTGAATTTAATACAGTACCTGGCACACAGTAGGTGCTTAATAAATGTTTATTGATTTCTTGTGGTCACACAGCTGCTGTCTGAGGCATGATTTGAACTCAGTTCTTCCTGACTCCTAGTCTAGTACCCTATCCACTAAAGGAGGCTCCCCAGTTAGTGACCCTGGATGCATGCAAGGCTCAGCTCATATTCCATCTCCCACATGAAATCTTTTCTTCCTCCCCTCTCCCACTTAATAGCTAGTGCTCCCATTTGCTTTTTGTACTAATTCTATGTTGGCTTCAAAATTTTTTTTTTTACTTTAGATATTGTCATCTTACTCAACTCCCTCATTTTTCAGGTGGGGAAATCCAGAGAGGGAAGACAACTTTCCCCAAGGTCAAGAAGCTATTAAGTGGCGGAGTCAGAATTTGAACACAGATCTTCTAGACCTAGGACTCTTCCCACCACACTGCACAAATGTTATTAGGTAGGTAATATCATCTACCCCGGGACAGCACAATGGATAGAGAACTAGGTTTGGAACCACAAAGACTCATCTTTCTGAGTTCCAACCCAACCTCAGATATTTACTAGTTCTGTGACCCTCCTGGGCAAGTCACTCAACTCTGCCTTAGTTTCTTAACCTGCAAAATGAGCTAGAGAAGGAAATGGAAAACCACTCCAGTGTCTTTGCCAAGAAGATCCCAAATGGGGTCACAGACAGCCAGATACAGTTGGAAACAGTACACAACAATATCATCTTTCTCATTTTCCTGATTGACTCCAAATGACTTTTTGGCTATTTCCTAAAATCACATACGATCTCAAAAGATGAGGATTTGACCCTGATGTTGCTCAAAGGATATATTAGTACTTTCTCCCTTAACCATTTTATGCTTATTTATGTGTGTATATGTCTTATCCTCCCATTAGAATGTAAACTCCTTGAAGGCAGGGACTATTTTTCCATTTTGTCTTTGGATCACTAGTGCCTGGCACGTGGTAGTCACCTAACAAATGCTATTTGGGTTGGGTTGGATTTTGTTTTTATATTTACCTATTTTTTAAAATGAGAGCTGGACTTCATGGTCCCTAAGGCCCTATGATCCTATGAGTATCCCATGAGTGTCTTAACTTTATATACATTGCAGATTTTAACTTTTGTAAAATTTGGGAATAAATGCAGTCGGAAATATTTAATGAAAGGATCAGCAAGGTGATTAACTTTGATGGTTTCTGTTACTCCTGGATGTCTTTTCCCCACACTTACTTCAGTCTGAAGTCATCAGCTGTGAGCCTGGCATTATCGATCTGTAGGACAGCAGTGGCATTGCTGGTGGTTGAAGCAATGATCTAGGAAATAGGAAGGTTGACAACATCCTGAGAGTGTTGTTCCATGGGTAATTATTGAAAATTCTATAGCTTTTCCCTTTCTTGAATTGAAAATGGAAGGACTTCAGTTCTTTCATGGAGTACTCAGGTTCACATCAATATGGACATTCCTTCTATTGGTGCAAATGCTAGCCCCTCTAGGCCTTCTAATCCTGTAAAATCTTTTCCATTCATGTGTTAAAATGATGAAAATAATGATCAAAATTAGAATAAAGGCATATGATCACTAGGAGACATTTTCATGATGGGTTAATCAGTTCAGGTTGATAACCAGTTATGCTTGTTGATATATCAAAGTTTCCTCATTTGTTTTTAAACCTCAGTAAGGGCGTTAAGGGAGCTTAGATGGTACAATGGACAGGTTGCTATGTCTGTTGTCAAAACCAGCCTCAGAAACTTACTAGCTGTGTAACCCCGGGCAAGTCACTTAACCTTGTTTTCCTTAGTTTCCTCAGCTATAAAATGAGCTGAAGAAAGAAATGGCAAACCATTCCAATATCTTTGCCAAGAAAACTCCAAATGGAGTCACAAAGAGGCAGACACAATGGGAAAACAACCGAACAACAAAGGACATTAACTTTTTTTTTAGAACACTGCCCCTCAAAATACTTTTCTGGCTAGATTCTATGGCTAACTATGTTTTGAAATAAAAGATAACAGGATTATTGATTTAGAGTTGGAAATCAACTCAATTGAATTCAACAAGCATTTATTATTATATTAATTGGAAGGGAAGTTATAGCATACGCTTACATGGTGCTTTGAAGTTTGCAAAACATTTTATATATATATAATTTCATTTGATCCTCAAAATAATGCTCCCAGGTAAGTCCTATTATTATTTCTTCCCACTTTTTTTTTTTTACAGACAAGAAAACCGAGTTTCAAAGACATTCCAATTCCAATTCCCTGATTCAAGGTCCAGTAATGTCTTCACTCACTGCACCAAGCTATCTCCCTTTGGTTATATTTAAAAATGGGGAATGTGAGACCTTGAGAAGTTAAGTGCAGAGCTGGGATTTGAATTCAAAGTCCTCTGAGTCCAAATTCACCACTCTTTTCATTACAACAGGGGCTCATAAAAATGACTCCAAATTATTTTCTTACCTGATTCTTAAGATCTTCAATTATTGGTAAGTATCGGCTATAGTCATGATCAAGACCCCGGCAAGATCCAGGACCAAATTTCTCATACCACCCCTTGATCTTGTCCTCCAGATCAGCATTTGCCTCTTCCAGGGCACGCACATTATCCAGGTAAGAAGCCAGGCGGTCATTAAGGTTCTGCATGGTCACCTTTTCATTGCCAGAGAGAAGCCCTGCTTCGCTTCCCACAAAGTTAGCACAGGAAATGCTACTATTTCCTCCAGTGGAACTGCTCCCAAAAGCACAAGAGAAGCCACTTCCAATGCCAGGTACCCCACATGCATTTCCACTCCCAAAGACTGACCCTCCACTAGAGAGCCTGACAGAACCTGTTGTGGGCCGGGAGCAAGATCTCCTGGTACCACTGGAAAGGCGAAGAGACATGGCTGATGGAGTGTGCGTGCAGAGCCTTTTTGTGCGGTCAAGAAATCCAAATGGAGTGTCGGTGTTTGAGATTATTTGGTTTGCCTTTTTTATAGCCAATTCCTTAGGGTGTTTCTGCCTGAATTGTGCCTACCAAGAGTAAAACATTGCTTGCCTATTCAGCAAGTTAACCTAATTGGATACTTTTTTGTTTTCATAATTAGCAAATAACTTTGCTGGGTCCATTTCCGTAAGTGGGTGGTTGCCCCTAGGTTGGTTGTTATCTCCAAAATGGTTTTGGGTGGAGCATTGCAGATTATTATTATGCTTTTAATTTTGGATGAGTAATTCCTCTCTTGTGATCTTTTGAAGCTTAAAGCCATCATTCCAAGAGCAGAATGAAAATTTGACTTCATGGTCTCATAAAATCAAAGAAACTCAGAGCTGGATGGAACTTCAGTCTGACCTCTGATGGAACAGAAATGACCTCGAAAATATCTCCAATAACATTCCAATTCCTGCTTTGTGATCTCTAGAGAAGGGTAACCAATGACCTTCTAAGACAATTCATTTCACTTTCAGACACCTTTGGATATCTGAAATTCTAAGAAAGTCTTTCTTTATATCAAATTTAAATCTTTCCCTAACTTCCATCCTTAGCTATCAGACCTTGTCTGTAGGGCAAAACTGAACAAGTCTAATCTATTTTACACATGACAGTGTTTGTATTTCTCCTATGATCTTTGACCATGTCTGATTTGCTTTTTTCTTTTGATAACTTAGGATTCCTTTCCCTCTATTTTATAGTTAAGATAGACATTCAGGGCAAGTCTACTTTTCTCAGTGTGCTGTATAGATTATGCAAACCCAGAAGACTAGGACTTCATTTCCCTAGAGTCTTGGGCAGGAGTATTTGGTCATTGAAATCCTCTACATTCGGGTACTAACGTTTTGGGGAATGAAATCCCAAATGGATGGGTTGTATCTGATGCACAGCACATGGTAAATATCAACTTTCCCATTGTTTTCTTTCAACTCAATGTATCAAATGGAATTTTTAGAATTGGAAGAGAGCTTAGAGATAATCTTATCCAACCCCATCATTTTATAGATGAAAAACCTGAAGACCTGAAAGACCAATCACTTCTCCATAGAAGTCTAAATTAAATGGATTTTGTTCATCCCAAGTTCCTCTGGTGGTGGCTTTTTGTCAGTTTCTCAAAGAGCAGCAACTTAAAATGTGGTTGCTATAGGTGATGTATCCTGTTGGCTCATATTCATGTTGAGAGATACTTGCCTTGTTTTAACCACATTGATAATGAAAAGCAAACCCATAATTGTTATTTGATAGGATTAAGAAAGGATTTGGGCAGCTAGATGGCACAGTGGGTAAAGCACTGGCCTAAAGTCAGGAAGACTTATTTTCCTGAGTTCAAATATGGCCTTAGACATTTACTATCTGTGTGACCCTGGGCAAGTCACTTAACCCTGTTTACCTCAGTTTCCTTATCTGTAAAATGGGCTAGAGAAAGAAATGGCAAACCATTCCTTTTTTTTCCCAGTATTTGCCAAGAAAACCCCAAATGACGTCATGAGGAGTTGGACACAATTGAAATGACTAAACAACAAGAAAATATTTTATATGAATGCCTGATCCTGCAAATTAAGAGGTATCCTTGATGGCAAATACTACCTCTTCCTTTGCATGGTTGCCACTTAGTTTGGGTGGGGAGTTGGAATTTTAGATTAGTTAAGCGCTGGATGTAAATTCCCCTTCTATTTCCTGAAGAAGTAGAATTTCAAAATTTGTAATATATGTAGAAATAGGCATATGTTCACAAGTATCTCAAATATGGTTCCATTATCTTCTGACTTTTAGCAAAATCCTTCATTATTTCATGGTAAGCAGACCACTCCCTTTCCTAAAAGTTTATGCCTTTAAAATCACGACTACAGACTTATAAGGAACTTTCAAGTGCCATCTAGTCCAATCCCCTCACTTTATAGATGAGGAAACAAAGACACAGAAAGCGTGTGACTTAGCCAACATCAGATAGGTGGCAAGTGGTAAGAGTAGGATTTGAACCTAGGTTTCTGACTCCAGAGTCCTTCCATCACCCTTTGTTGGAAACTGTCCTTTTGGCTATGAATGGTTAGAGGCACTTGCTACATTTGTCATATTCTAAAATTTGCATAAGCTCCCTTTCTTTGAAAATAGAATATGAGTGTCAGCAAATCAGTACTAGGTTAAACATGGAAGTTCATATGGATGTGGAAAATTGAACTGGCAGAGAGTAGTGACATGGGTGAGATCCCAGATCCATCTGAGTTTTATTATGTGAAGTAGCAGGGCAAATGAAGGGGGACCAGCCTTGTCTATCATATGGAACTTGGAAAAGCTGGTTCTCATCACTTTTCTCATATGTTCTGGTGATTTTGATGATCTAGGGTGAATTAATCCTGCTGAGAATCACAGAATCACTGCACAGGAAGGGATCTTGAGATCTCATCTGATTTGAGCCCTTGCCTTTAGGCAGATGACTCCTTAAACTATCCAGCACAGATGCTTATCTCTTCTTCACTCTTGCTGCCAATAGCACTATGGTCTGTCTATGTTCTATGTTCAAAACTTTGGTGTTTTCTTGAATTCTTTGCCCCTATACACCCCTCAGTCACATCAAAGAGTTAAGATGTTGACTTGAAATTTTCCTCAATGGAATCTCCACTCACTATTTTTGGTTGTGCCCTTGGATACTGTCAGTCATGAGGGCTTATGGAAAATTATGTCAAAATTTGGTTGCCCTGGGAAGTTCATCAGCATTGTACATCAATTTCATGATGGTATGTTTACCTGGGTTCTGGATAAAGGACAATGCTCTTGTGTTTTCCTAGTCACCAATGGAGTGAAACAAGGCTGTGTGCTTTCTCCCATGCTTTTTAGCATAACATTTTCAGCCATGTTGTCAAACACTTTAAATGAGGATGAACACGATATCAAGGTCAGCTACCACACTGATGGTAAATACTTCAATTTGAAAAGGCTACAAACCAAGACCAAAGTAGAAGGAGTGTTGGTGCATGATTTTGTTTACAGATGATTGTATACTTCATGCAGCCTCTGAAGCTGAGATGCTACAAAGTATGGATTGATTCTCTACTACTTGTGCTAATTTTGGCCTAATAATTAATACCAAGAAATACAGGTGCTCTGTCAGCCAATGCCACATCATCCATATGTGGAACCATTGGTTACATACAACAAATGGAGAAGCTTTGAATGCCATGGATAAGTTGACTTACCTTGGCAGTATACTTTCCAGGGATGTACACATTGATAATGAGGTAGACACACGCACTACCAGAGCCAGCTCAGTGTTTGGGAGGCTCTGAAGGAAAATGGGAGCAAAGAGGTATTAGACTGACTACCAAACTGAAGGTCTACAGAGCCATTGTGCTGACCTCATTGTTGTATGCCTGGGAAACCTGGACAGTATACCAATGCCATGCCAGGAAACTTAATCCCTTCCATTTGAATTGTCTTAGGAAGATTCTGAAGATCACCTGGCAGGAGAAGATACTAGACACTGAGATCCTTTCACAAACTAAGCTGCCAAGCATTCAAACTCTACTTCAGAAAGTGCAACTCTGATGGGCTGGCCACATTGTTCGAATGCAAAATGGATGCTTGCCAAAAAGACTTTTATGGAAACTTACACAGGGCAAGCGTTCATATGGTGGTCAGAAGAAGTGATGCAAGGATACTCTCTTAAGAGCTTTGGCATTGATTGTGTGCCATGAGAGATACTGGCACAGGACTGAGCAGCATGGTGTGCCCACATCAGGGAAAGTGCTGTGCTCTATGAGCAAAGCACAATTGAAGTAGCGCTAAAGAAATGTGAGATGCAAAATTTAGAGAATCCACCTCAAATGTTCACATGGATTATTTTTGCCCAACTATTTGCCACCTGTATTTCTTGGTGTTAATTGTTAGAAGATTCTGAGCTCATATTGGTCTGATCAGCCACAGTTGGACACGCTGTAACTTGACTCTAGCATAGTGATGTCATTTTGATCCTCTTCAAGAGCAAAGGATAACAATCAACCAACCAGTTCTTCATACACTGAAAACAATCCAATCTCATCTCATCCAGTCCAGTCTAATCCAGTCCAGTCCCATCCTATCCCATCCCTTACAACCCAACAAGTGTCTGCTAGGTCCAAAGCACTTTGGTGCTAAGTGTTGAAGACATAAAGATATAAAGATAAATCAATACTCATCCTACAGTGGGTGGAGGAGGGAAAATACCAATAAGTAAATAGATAAATAAATGCAAGTTAACTGGACAAGACTAGTTAGGATCAGGAAAGGTTTCCCGTAGGAATCGGCATATGAATTGAGCTTTGAAGGAAACTAGGATTTCAAATCCTTAATAATATTCTCTCTGACTAATACTGAGCATAGAGGAAGAATACTTATCTGGCACTTGTATGTCATTCTGCCTTTCAAAAATCTAAGGTTCATTCTTGGATAGCTTGGGTCCAAGAACTCCCACAGGACCCTTCTACAGATCACAGAAACTTCATTGAGCTGGGAAGTATGAGAAGGTTCACATCATACATTTTTTCACCTGGGCACTATTGTTGTTGCTGCTCAATCGTGTACAAATCTTTGTGACCCCATTTGGGGTTTTCTTGGCAAAGGCACTGGAATGGTTTTCCATTTCCTTCTCTTGCTCATTTGACAGATGAGGAAACTGAGGCAAGCCTAGTTAAGTGACTTGTCCAGGTTCATATAGCTGGTTACTGTCTGAGGCTAGATTTGAACTGGAGTCAGGTCCTCTAGCTAGCTGGCCATGCATCTAGTAGTAGATATCAGAAAGCCTAGATTAGAATCCAAGCTTCCTGATTCCAAGTTCAATGCTCTTTTCACTAGACCACACAACCTTTCTCTTTGGGGCCAGAGTCCTCTGGCTGATTCAGTTAGGACTTAAAATAACTTATTGATACTGATTTTTCTATTT